GAAGACGAGCGAAGAAGGTCGCGAAGGAGAAGACGTGTCTCCGGTGTACGTACGATTTACCGGTGAATAAAGATTAAGAACAGCTGAGAGAAAATGGGAGTGTGAGAAGAAGACGAATAGATCGAGAGAGAGAGAGAGAGAGAGAGAGAGAGACAGTATTTTTTAATTGTTTTTTAATTGATGGTAATAAAACAAAATTAGAAAATTAAATAATAAGGCAAAATCGTCTTTACAAAAAGACAAAATTGCAAAAATGGTCCCTGTGGTTGGCAAAAATATGTGATTTTGGTCCAAAAATGTTTGGTGGTGCACCAGTGGTCCAATTTTGGATCTTTTTAATGATTTTGGTCCCTATATACTTAAAAAGACAATTACGCCCTTGTAATTATATTTTTCATTTTTTATATTTATATTAATGGTTTTAGTTATTTGAAAATAATTAAGGGCCCACCAACCCTACACCTCTTCTTCTCCAGTTCTCCCCATCTCTCTCTGATGTTATCCCTCCTAATACCATCGCCACTTCATCTCCTTTTAGCTATGGATCCCCCCAGTTCGTAACATCTTGCATACATTTTATCCTTCGCACCAGCCACTAAAGGCAGAGCTTTAGTTGTCGCCAGTTCATCCTGTCTGGCCACCACCGGAAACATCCCTAGAATCACAGTCCAAACCCTAGTTTCTAGAATTTATAAGTTTTGAATCCAAAGACACCCATAACACATTTACCCTCGTCTATTCAAGCTATTATGGCCTCTCCATGTCCTAATTTGTAATTATCTCGGGTGAGTTTAAAACATTACCAAATGGAGAACACCAACCTGCAACAATGGTGATTTTGTTGAAACTTGCAGATGAGACAAGACATCTATGGTTGGTGCCTTTGATTCTCGATTACCATGAATTTTTGAACAATGTGTGAGTCGGTTATTTCTGTTCTGAATACAAAATTCTCGATGCCTAATGCTAATGATTTCTTTTCTAATTTTCAGGTGGGTTTTGTTAGGGTTGGCAAGTGTCGATAGTGTATGTGTGTGTGTGTGTTTGTTGAGTCTAAACCTATAACTAGAGACACTTTATATCGATTTCTGAAATTGTTTGTTTCGTATGATAAACAAGCACCGGCGACATTGATGAACAAGCATGACAGGGTGGTCATGAACAAATAGGGGTGAAGATGGTAGGATGGACTAATGGTGGTGGCTAGGGGAAATAAGGGGGTGAGGTCTGTGGAAGAATGGCTCAATTTAAAAGAGAAGTAGAAAAGGGGTGATAAATCACCATCGCAGACTTGTTGTTATTTTCTTTGGAAACCTGCAACTCGAGAAAAAATGGAAGAAGATGGGACCAATTTTGATCTTGACCTACAGTTTTCCTCGTCTATATTTCTTTTAATTAACATTTGCACTGAGCGAAAGAGAAGAAGGAAGTGTGGGATAATTTGAGTGTATGTGTGTGTGTAACTGTGTTTTCTTAATTTTGGAAGAGAGAGAGAGAGAGAGAGAGTGTGTGTGTGTGTGTGTGTGTGTGTGTGTGTGGTGGGTTTATTTTGTTTTTCATTTTTATTAGACAAAATTGCAAAAATGGTCCCTGTGGTACGTATTTTTTTGGGGTTTTAGTCCAAACCACGAGTTTTTTGGATTGGCGGTCCTTTTGAGCTAGTTTCCTTGCACTTTTGGTCCCTGTCCAAACTAAAAAGACTATTATACCCTTAATGAATTTAATTTTCATTTTTCTTTCGCTTTTTAAAATTATTAAAATTAGGCCCACATGGCCACCCACTCTCTCTCTCTCTCTCTCTCTCTCTCTCTCTCTCTCTCTCTCTCTCTCTCTCTCTCTCTCTCTCTCTCGTTCATCTTCTTCCTCATGAAACAAATGTTTATATTGAAATATCAATCCAGAACCTCCACATATTTAACCACCATAAATTGTGGCATATATCAATACCTCATTGTTTCCGTTTCCATTGCTTTGTGAAGATAACAAAGAAAAAAGAAAAGGAAAAAAGAAATCTAGGGTACCGCCTCTTTTGGCGTCTTCTTTCTTCTTCTGATCCAATCGGTCAGCAACACACGAAGGAGGAATAAGGACTTCAGTCCTCTGCCTTTTTCAGATCAAGAAGAGGGACCCGATTGGAAGCAGCAACAAATTGAGGGGGATGTATGTGGGTGGTGATCGTCCGCAGAAAGGGGATGAGGAGGAGGGTTGGGAGTGGGTTTCTCCGGTCCTTGTCTGGTCGGAGAAGAAAGAACTTGAATGAAAGCAGAAAAGAAACATGAGGGCAACAAAGAAACTTGGTCCTGTGGTGGTTCATCTGTGGTGGTTACACAGTCACGAGGAGGGGTATCGGCAGAAGGCTATCCCCGAAGCCTTCACTCCCTTTATGTTGTGATCGGCAGCAAAATGTAAAAGAGGATGGAGGTCTTCGATCCTCTGTTGATCCTAGAAGAAAGGAGCATTAACGGAGGCGGCAGTTGGTGGCGCGGGAGGTGTTGGTGGTGGCGATGGCAGCCCATTGGCTCGCCGGTGGAGTTGTTGTTCTTGATGGTCACCGGAAATGCATCCACATCCGGTGGTGTTTTTACCATAAAAATGAAGAAGAAAAGGATGAAATAAAACTGGGAGATAGATTGAGGAAGACGAGAGAGAGAGAGAGAGAGAGAGAGGGGTGGGCCCCATAATTTTTATTAATAAAACTTTAAATTAAATAGCAAAAACCATTAAAAAAATGTATCAGAAGGGCATGTAGTCTTTTCAGTTTTCTGGGGGACCAAAAACGCAACAAAACTAGCTTAAAATGACCACCAATCCAAAAAAGTCGTGGTTTGGACTAAAACCCCAAAAAAATGCATACCACAGGGACCATTTTTGCAATTTTTTCTTTTTATTATAAGAATAAGAAAATAAATAAAAGAAATTAAAATATAATTATTTAAGGGGCATATTAGTCATTTTAGGTGGGATGTGGACCAAAAACACAATAAAATACAACCATATGGATCAAAATCACACGATGTATCTAAAATTGGACCAGTGGTGCACCAATATTTCGTTTTGGACCAAAACTACAGAATTTTGCCAACACAGGGACCATTTTTGCAATTTTGTCTTACAAAAAAGTTCAAACCAAACTGGACCAAACTCGCAAGAAAATGAAACTTTTGGACCACTAGTGCTAGTCCAAACTTTTTTGGCCCAAACAAACGAGTTTTGACATACCATAAGGACTATTCTTGCAATTTTTTCTATAATTAATTAAAAATAATTAATAAACACAACAATTAATAAAAATAGAAATATTTCATTAGTTAAAAAAAAAGTTACACAATAAAACCAAGAAACATAATTAAAAATTACATAATAAAAATTACTCCAAATCGTCGTTCGAATCATCGGCGAAATAACAACTATAACGAGCTGGTACATACTTTCTTGTGTTGTACGCTTGGACATCATCAAATACTCGTCTCATTTATCTGATCTCATGTCGTATGCTAACTAACGATTTGCGAGGGTGCATTTTTGAATTGGAAAAAAATATATTTTCTACCTTACATCTCACTTCAACTGAAAATATGGAAATCGGCTCTCTGCGTCACCAACAATATAAAAATGACTATTTCCTCATCTGAAACCGTCGCCTAAACTTTTCAATGTACATGGTCATGGGCGGATCTTATATAGGGCAGGGGGGCTGTGGTCCCCCTGATTTTTTTGGCAGAAGTAGTCCCTATACTTTAATTTTATACATATTAAACCGAAAAATATAAAATTTTGACTATGGCCCCCCTGTTCACCAATTTTTATACAAATTATATTTTCGCCCCCCCCCCCCCCCCCCCCCCCCAAGGAAAGATTGAAGCTCCGCCACTGTACATCGTGTCATCGACAAAACAGTCTTCTATAAGGCGATGGTGTCTGGCTTTGCAATTTCTCTCAAATGAGCTCTTCTCATTCGAAAACGTGAACTTTGAGCTTCTTAGTTTGGGAAATACACGACTGATTTTGCAATGGCGGAACCAATAAACGTTGCTTGTTCTAGCGCCATCATCGAATCCAACAAACTAGATGACGATGACAATTGTGGGTGAATGGCTTTTTGAGAGAAAATATAGAAATTTGTGTAAGAAAAATATTGTAAGTGTTTGGTATTTATAGAGTGGTATAGTTTATATATATATATATATATATATATATATATATATATATATATATATAGAGAGAGAGAGAGAGAGAGAGTCGATGGAATTCAAAAAATAAGCAAACAAGCATTTTTCGTTGGCCAATCAGGAGAAGAGAGAAGCAGCGGGGAAGGCTCTCCGCATAAGATCAAACCGCACCTAGAATATGGTGTTCCTGAATACGGTTTCTGCCAAATCAACACTTATAAGTTTAACTATTTGATAAAACAATTGCGGTCTCGGGATGGGATGGATGTTAATGCACCTTGGATTGATGAAGAAGAAATCAACCCAATCAAACATGTTTTTGATTAAATAAATTGGTTGGTTATTAAAATTTCGGATCTAATACCAACCGATATTGATTTTTATTTTATATTTATTTAACCTTTAAATTAAAAAATAACAAAACAAAAAAACACGATTGCATTTGTAACTTATTTAATTATATCTTAAACTTATTTGGACAATAAAGTGGTAGTTATGTTTCCTTTGAACTTTGAGTTATTATTTGATCAATCCACGTCATCCCATTTATTTAGCAAGTCCCATCGAGTTAAAAATATCAGAACCGGTATAATTAAACAGGTCAATCCGAATCCAAATCCACCCCGTCCATTGAGACTTAAGATGCGTTCTTGAGTTTATAAAAAAGGAAAGGAATTTTACTGTCAAATGACGTTTTTACCCATAAAGGATACTGTCAGCTATAGAAGGCCAAGGGTAAAAGCAGTCTTTTTTTTTCTTTCCTTCCCATGATCCCATCCCCTAGACAAAAAACTTAGAACAAGGTGTTAAAGAATTTTGCAGCTTTAATATCGTTGATTCAAGACTAATTAAGGCTTCTCATTGTTAAAGTAGGCACATATTTAAACATATCTACTATTTTACTAATACTAGTAGCTTAATACATATAATGAATGTCAAAGAGGCTGATGACATGAATAAAGGGTAGGATTGCTAACACGTCACACAACAGCAAAGTAAGTCAAAGTCAACCGCAAGGTTTTCATAACACCGTTTCTCATACACCCTGAAAATAGATAAATTTTATTAAGATTAGAAACACCAACATTTTATATTTCTTGTTTTTTTCATAGAGGTTTTAGATATAACAAATTATTTTGATTTTTAAGAAAAAAAAATTTCAACATATCCAAAAAAGGAAAAGAAGCACTTTTTAAAAAATTAGGTCAAATATGCATTTATGCAAAGAAAAAAAAAAAAAAACTTTTCAGGGCTTTTTCCCAAAAACAATAAAGTGGTTTTAGACAAAAATATGCACTCAAATTTCATTGTAGGAACAAACTAAGCAAAATTGTAAATTGTAATCATGCACACGGATTAAATGGTTATTTATGCAACAATGTTTTATTTTTTTTATCAGTTTATGCAATAATGTTCTACTTTTTTTTACTATACAAACAATGTTTCATTCTTTTACCAATTTATACAACTAGCACAAATTACACAGGCATGTTAAAAAAAAGTTAAACAATTACTAATAAAATATAGCATATGTTGGTTTAAAAAAGGAAACATCATCATTGCATATTTTATATAAAAACCCATTTTTGTTACTTTATTGCATATTTTGGTACTTTATATATTTTTAATGGATGAGTTTTTCAAAAAGTGGAAAAAGAATGCTTACGTCAGCAGATGATGATATGATGGAATCCCTTTCAGAATTTATAAGTCCACTCAGCCTCCTACAGTACACAAATCATCTCAGTAAAATAACAGACACCACCAGTGTCGGTATAAGTATCAGGCTCAAGCTCAGTCCAATCGGTATCAGTATCAGGCTCAATCCAATACACGCAAAACACAGTATAATTAATCTGATATGTTTTGTCATGTCCTACATAACATAAGGATCCTAAAGAACTACCTTGGTTTCTCAGACTTTGCAAGGTGCTTAGACATGATAGATGCCTACAAAAATTTATTAAATTTAAACTTTAGTTTGTATTGTGATAATAAGTAATAGGATTTAGGAACAAAATGAGGATCTTTAATTTTAAAAAACCTGTTCTTGGATTATACTTCTTGCTTCAACAAGTTGAGCTTCTAACTCGAGCTCTCTTTCAGTTGCTTCAGAAGTGACTTCAGCTTCTTTTTGTGCATCTTGTAGCTGACCCATTCGCTCCTTTACATTCAAACATTAAAAAATAATAATAATAATAAAATAAATAAATACTTTTTTAATAATGAAAAAGAAACACATGGATGAAAATCATGAAATTACCTTAATTGAAGCCACTTTGTTTCGAAGAAATGCTTCTATTTGATCTCTACCCATATTAAATGGTAGGTCAAACACATCCTGATATTCATAATTCATAAACTTTCAGCTTATCTCATATAAGGAGGGCATTTTCATCTTTTTGCACAAAAAAAAAATTATATTTGGTCATACCGTTCTCCCACCTAATGGGGATTGTGTGGGGTCCACATCCCTAACAGGGGAAGGATGTTTAGAAGAACCATTTGGAGCATTCAAGAAGTCACGCATATCCACCTATAAACACCATATATGTAGAAAATAGTGTAAAGAAAAAAAGAGATTTATATAAAATAGTAAAATATAATCTTTTCATACATTTTTTTTTCCTATAAAAGTTACAATAATGATAAAATACCTGCATTGATCGTAACAATGCCCTCAGATCAGCATTCTCTGCAACTAACTCTTGATTTTTTGCCTCATATGCATCCACCTAAATTGCAAAAGTATATATATAAATTGAAGTTAAAGAAATATAGATTTATATAATTATAACATATTAACAATTAACATACAATCTTTTTATAGAAATCATTGTCAGCTTTCTTCCCATTCCAAGTCCCACGTTGTCTCCCTTCTTTCTGTGATGAATGCAGGAAAATTTATAGTTAGAAGTCTCAAAATTTGAAATGATAAATATTAAATATGAATATAGTCAAAAACATTGACCAATCACCTGAAGTAAGTTCATTATTTCCATGCCTGATCTGGATTCCTTCTTTTTCTCCATCATAACTTGATTAAGTCGCTCCTGTAAAGAAACGAAAGATATTAACAAAATTTGTGGGAAATATAAGATGGAGATGATGGGATTAGGAGAGAATTATATTTTTATACCTGCAACTTAATGTACTCTTTTTCTTTTTTCTTCATCTCATGTATCTGTTGAGTTCTTACTTGCTTTTACAAGATGATGTGTTGAAAATGGTGAGTTATAGAAAGTTAGAAACAAATAAGATGAAAATCTAAAAGGGGGATGTATAAAAGCATACCTGATTTCCAATAACCATTCTTTGAAATTCATCTCTTTCTTGCTGCAACTTCTCAATTTGGCCCTTAAGTCCTGCTTTTGCTTTAGCTTCCTGATCATAATAAATGATAATCAAACAACTATATGATACAAGTTAATAGCTATATATGTATGTATACATAAGCATATTATATATATACAAACACATTACAGTGCGGGTAATTGTTGCTATTTCTCTATCTTTAGCAGACAACTGCGACTCCAGTCTCTCTACTTTGGCCTCTAGTCTTGATATATCAGATGAAAGTCTGCAAGAAAATCGCAAAAGAGATAAGCATAATCTTAGTCTTGCATTGTATCATGTATTGCTTTCTGCTTTCAATTCCATGAAGTTAGTTTTAAATTTTAATCCACATGCTTGTTGTAAGCCATATAACAGAAGAAGAGATACAGTACTCCATTACAGAATAAGAGATACAGTGTGGCTTTTGGAAATGAATATATGAAACCCTAAAATTCAATGGTTTAATTGATTTTGCAGGAACAATCAATATGGGGACTAGGCATTCCACCTCATTAAACTATGCATTGTGGAAAGATCTAAGGACTTCACAGATTAACTTCTCAAATTGAAACTTATCCCTAATTTTGTAAAAGAGATTCTTAATTGATTAATCTCCTGTGTAAAGTTTAAATACTTTAGATAGAAAAGTTCACCTTTGTCTCTGATCACTGGTAGATTCTCGAAACTCTATATCACGTTGCCTCTGCTGCAACAGTGAGTATAAACAATTGCAAGTTCTTGCAATCGAAACCTAAACAAAAAATATATGTAACGACAGAGAGTATATAAATTAAACAACAAATCACATATAAAGTCAAAATGTACAAACCGGATCAGTTGCAAACAGATCCAGAGAAGCAGGAAATCCAAATGTGACTAGAGTCTGATTCAAATACTTCGCACAATGATCCAAATTATCAACATCAGCAAATGTGTACTCACTGCAAAAAGGTACGGAACATTTTACGAAATTTCGCAGGTGAAATAAAACCCTAACTCCTCGTAACAGTACAAAAATAACCAAAATTATAACAAAATAGATGAAATTTTACCTAGCTCCGAAGCTGGACTGTGTAGGTAACAGATCGAGATAACAGATTCAGGAAATGTAAATCAATCAGCTAGAGAAAAAATTTTAAAAATATGTATATAATTGAAGATGAAATTAATTTTAAAGATGAACGATTATACTCTGAGATCGAAGTTCGTAGTGTCAGTTGACGCCATTGTTGCGAAGTGATGGACTTCAGGACATTCGTCTCGCCGGCGCGGGAATGCAAGAGAGGAAGAGGCGTTTGAAGGTGCTGACGACCGGTCAAGTGGTGTTTGAGAAACTGTTGATAGATCAGGATTGTGGTTGCTTTTGAGGTGTGATAAAACAGTTTGAAAGTTTGAAAATTGAATTGCACAAAGTAAAAAAGGGTGCTCGGATTTTTATTTTATTTTTTAAAAGTATGTTGCAAAATGCAAATACATAAGTTTAGAATTTACAACGAGCGTTTGAATTTTGAAAGTTATATATATATATATCTAAGTTTAATTTAATATGAGGCTATTCTCTCAAATTTCAAAGGATATTGATTTATGAAAATTTCACCATATGGCTAATAGAATAAAAATGCATAAAATATCTCCACTGGCTTGCAAGGAAGGAGTCTGGCTCCGAGATTTTGAAGGCTCTGTTTAATTTAACAAAAAATATGCCTTAAAACTTGAAACATTTAAAATTTAAGCAAAAAAATTTGTAAAATACATAAATTGTTATAAAATATGATCAAATAACAAGATAAATTATAGAGTAAAGAAAAACATGAGGGTGAAGGGAATTTTTATTCCAATACTTGTGATGAAATCATCAAACTTTACAATACATAATATTCACTATTTATACTAGAGAAAAGAGGGGAAAGGTGAGGTATGTTGTGAATATAGCGGTGCATAACTACACTCATAAAAATTCATAATAATGTTTGTTATAATGCTCACTAATTGTGGAGAGTAATGAAGAAATATGGAGAATTCTATAGTCATTCACTAAATAATAATTCATAACACTCCCCTTGAATGACGATTGTATCATGCCTCGTTAAAACCTTAATCGGTAAAACCTCATGGGAAAAAACATTTTATTAATGAAAAAGAGCACATGATTAATAATAGATATTGGGAACAATTGTCTCGTTAAAAATATTGCTAAGTTGTTACTTGATTGGATTTTCTGGATGTTGATGTCACGTTCTTTGTGAAGATCATGAGTGAAAAAAAAAACTTTGGCGATATACGTTTGGTTCTGTCTCCTTTGATAAACCCTTCCTTGAATTGGGCTATACAAGCCGCATTATCTTCATATGGTATGGCTTAAACGTCCTTGAATTAGGCTATACAAGCTGTATTATCTTCATATGGTATGGTTGGAACGTTCCTGTTAGAAGTTAGACCACAATTCTCATGAATGTGATGGGTTAAATTTCTCAACAAAATACATTCACGACTTGCCTCATGAATTGCTATAATCTCTGCATGGTTAGAAGAAACAACAACTAAAGTTTGTTTAACAAAACGCCAATAAATTATGGTACCTCCACAAGTGAATAAATAACATGTTTGGGATCGAGCTTTGTGTGGATCATATAAATATCTAGTATCTGCATAACCAATTAACTCCGCATTTGATGAATTTGATTAGTATAAGCCCATATCTATTGTACCTCGATAATACCAAAGAATGTGTTTGACTTCATTCCAATGTCTTCTTATTGGGCAAAACTATATCTTGCTAATAAGTTTACAGCAAAAGATGTATCAGGTCTCATATTATTAGCAAGATACATTAGTGCACCAATAGAACTAAGATATGGTACTTCGGGACCAAGAAGTTTTTTCATGTTTTTCACAAGGCCGAAATTGGTCCTTTTTGGCATCTAAGGGCCTTACTACCATCGGGTTACTCAATGGATGTGAGTTATCCATATAAAACATTTTAAGCACTTTTTCTAGATAACTGGATTGATGTACAAAAACTCCATTTTTGGTTTGCTCAATTTGAAGTACAAACGAAATTTCGTTTTACCAAGATCATTCATTTCAAAATTTTCTTTCAAACAAAAAGTGGCATTTTCCAATTCTATAGGAGTTCCAATTATGTTCGAATCATCTACATAAACAACAATTGTCACAAATTCTGATCCGAATCTTTTTTATGAATACAGATGGACTTAATGGAACATTATTACAGTCATCTTTCTACTGAAAGATACTTAAACAATTGAACCACATACGGCCTGATTGTTTTAATCTATATAAAGATTTATTTAATATTACCGAATATACTTCTCGAAAATTAGGAGTTTGTGCTTCTGGAACCTTAAACCCTTCTGAGATTTTCATATAAATATCATTGTCAAGTGAACCATATAAATATGTGGTAACTACATTCATCAGACGCATCTCCGGTTTTTAATATAATAACGGGTAGTGCAAAAAATAATTGAAGGCTCCGGAAGATCATATTTTATAACACGTTATCAGCACGACTATACCATAGAGCTCTAACTCCTTATTACTCTTGTCATTTTCAGGTATGTATTTTTTTATAAGTTTACCTGTACAATGCTTACAACTTATTTTATGGAATTTTTTAACTAACAATTGCTTAACATACAAGTCTTTATTTTGATTAGTATTTTCACTATGGAAAACCATGTTAGAGAAAACTTTCTCTACTTTTCATGCCCCTAACATGCTCCTGCAGCAGCAATATCATGAGAAAGGTTTAAAAAAAATCTAAATTAATCTCATGTCTTCTAGTGGCTAAACAAAACAATGAACTATTGATGAAAAATCATCAATCACGCCCGACCGGTTCTAGTCCATTCTCTGAAGTGAATGAAACATCATATAATCATAATAGTCATGGGTCTAACCAAGGTCGTAGAGATCGTCATAATTATCATAACAACAATAACAAAATTGCAAGTAACCACCAGAAGTTGGAAAATAACAAAAACTCACATTCTAATGATAAAAGTGGTCAAGGCAAAAAGGAAATTGAAAATATTTGTCACCGATATGGAATGACCAGTCATTGGTCTCGTACATGAAGCTCCCCAAACCATTTTGTTGATTTTTATCAAGCTTCTCTAAAATCTAAAGAAAAATAAAATATCGAAACAAATTTTATTCAAAGTGATTTTCATGAAGATCAACCAGAAATGACACATTTTGATGTTGTTGATTTTCTTGTCTACCCAAAAGGGACAAGTGGTGTTATGTATGGTGATGAAAAAATAATATGTAGTTTTGGTTCATGTCATTTATTATGTTTTTATGTCATATTCGTTTCATGAGAAATGATGTCATTACAATCTTCACAAAGTAATATAATATGACTTTATTTCTCTAAGTCGAATGTTTCTTATGTTTTATTTATTTATCGAAGAGAAATATGGATATTCACAAAAGAAATGAGGAAGATATATGTCTTGCAGACAGTACAACAACACATAACATTTTTAATAATGAAAAGTATTTTGCTTACTTATCAATTGGATAAGCAAAATGTTAATATAATAACGGGTAGTGCAAAAAATGATTGAAGGCTCCGGAAGAGCGAATATGATATTACCACAATGGACAATAATTATAATTGGTGATGCATTATTTTCATCAAAATCACCAAGAAATTTATTAAGTTTTAAGGATAATTCGGTTTAATGGATATCATGTTGAAACAACTAATGATAGTGATAAAGAGTATTTCAATATTACAAAAATGATATCGGATAGAAAGTATTTTGGAAAAATTACTCGTATTGTCCTCCGGTTGGGCCATCCCGGATCAATTATGATGCGCATAATAATTGAAACTTCAAGTGGTCATTCCTTGAAAAAACCAGAAGATTTTTCAAGCTAATGAATTGTCTTGTGTTGTATGCTCTCAAGGAAAATTAATTTTATGTCCATCATTGAACAAAGTTGGGTATGAAAGTCATAGTTTCCTAGAAGAATTTAAGGGGATATATGTGGACCAATTCATCCACTGTGTGGACCATTTAGATATTTTATGGTTTAATTGACACGTCGGCTAGATGGTCACACGTGTGTTTGTTATCTAGTCGTAATCTCGCTTTCGCAAGATTACTTGCACAAATAATTCGTTTAAGGGCACATTTTCCCGATTACCTAGTTAAGAAAATTCGACTTGACAATGTTGGAGAATTTACATCACAAGCTTTTAATGACTATTGCATTTTGATTGGGCTACCTAGTTAGGAAAATACTCGGTACGCAGGGCGTACCAAGCCCTACGCTAGGCATACCAGCTCTAAGTGTCAGCATCGAATGCGAAGTTGTGGGGAGGAAGGTGGGGCTGAGATTGTGACACATGTCAACCTCACAACTTAACCCATAATTTAATTATCTTCTAAATTCCGTAACTTTCGCATACGAGCTTCGTTTTGACATTCTTTATATCCACGCTTAGGTAGCGACGTGATCTACAACTTTCGTTTAGACTCCGTCAGCTAATTTTGACTTTACTTTAAAGTTATATTTTAACATGCTTAGACAGTTAAAGTCCGTTAAAAATTCATAACTTTGTCAATCGACGTCTGTTTTCGTCTGTCTTTATATTGTTGAACTCCTATAAATGAGATCTTCAATTCTCGTTTAGATTGTGTCGGCTAAAAATCGACCAATCTAAAATTTGATTTCTGGGCTGCATACTGCTATGTCAAATCTTAGAAAAAATCATAACTTCCTCTAACGAAGTCATATTTGGACGTTCTCTATATGCACGCTCTCGGTTTAACGTATACTATGACTTACGTTTAGATCGCTAAGGCTAAAAAGTATTTTATCAAAAACTCACTATTTACAATACACAGCGTCGTGCCGGTTTTGTCGCAAAACTTCGACGGGTCATATATTCTTTGTTATAAGTCGGATTTCAGCGTTCTTTATATCTCAGGAATCCTTCTTGTTAGGACCACTTCAACTTTCTTCATAGATATTGGGTCTATCTATTATTTTTTTTACGCATATTTTTATTATTATTTTATTACATCGTTATAAGCACATATGTAACACATAAATCACATAATACTCAAATAATTCCTCTTCATTACTTCAAAATAGGTTACAATTGACGATCCTAACTATTACATCATAGTATTAATGCTTAGCCAGAAACGCGGGCGTTACATCTTGGGATAAGCATAAGTCTCAAATATGGAGTTTGATCGAGGTTTGGACTCCAAGCTTGAGTTTTTATTTTCCTTTATTTTGACCTAGCAAGTATTCAAGTCATGCATGACTATAAAGCCGTGATTTTTATGGCTCTTTAGGTTGGGGAAAACCCTTTGGAAAGTTTGAATGCTTAGCTTAAGGGATTAAGAGCTTAATGTTCAAAGTTG